TTATTTCTGCATTTATTTTTTTTACAATGTATAGGGACGCAAATCGAGCTATATAAAATCGACTGTGTACTCGGTTTTCTTGTGAGAGAGAACGACAATATTATCAATTTCTTTTTTTATGTATATATATTTATATATAATAATTCAGTTTGTATTTCTTAGCTACTACGTAAACGCTATGCAAGAGAGTCTAGGCGCTTTCTAATGTTTTGCCTAATGTCGCCCACGCTTATAAGCAAGGTGTTCCTTAAAGCTTTTTCCCTCTTTCTCCAAGCAGATCGTACATTTCTATAGGCAAGAAAACATTAAATTTCGAGTAATTGTTATAAATCAGGTGACCCTTTTTTCCTCTTATATCCGTTTTATTTCTTATATACACACACGCGCACGCACACGCACGCACGCACGCACGCACGCACGCACGCACGCACGCACACTCACTCACTCACTCACGAGGTGTTGCTTTTGTTGTCATGCAAATTCTTCATTATAAAAGGCGCTCGTAGTAGTTCAACAATTTCTTTTTTCTTTCACGGACATATAATCATTCACTCATCGTGTTCTGTTTCATTTGCAATAGATTTTTGTAATTTTTTTTCTCATGAAGCTACTAATGTGTCTATTTGATTTATTCTAATAATAATAATAATAATAATAATAATAATGAGAATAATGAGAATAATGATAATGATACTCATAATAATAGTAATAGTAGTAGTAGTAGCAGTAGCAGTAGTAGCAGTAGTAGTAGTAGTAATAGTAGTAGTAGTAATAATAATAGTAATAGTAATAATAATAATAATAATATTAATAATAATAATAATAATAATAATGATAGAAAGGAAGAATACAAATAATAATAAAGAAAATAATAGATTTACGGAATGTTGCTTCTTAGTACATTAATTTACTTCTTTTACATTGATCTTTATTTAATTGATGTCTTTATTAAATTTGTGTATTGCATATTCCATATACATGTGTATTTTTTTTGTTAGCTGAAATTACAATAACAAAAAAAAAAAAAAAAAAAAAAAAAAAAAAAAAAAAAAAACACGAACAATTAGAACATGTTGAAGAGATGTATTGCGGTAGGCCTACAAGTTAATAATCAAACCCGTCAAACCTTGCAGATATTTTTATTTATTTCGTCTTTCATCAATATTATTGGAAACTGTTTTAAATTTAAGTAAACGTATGTTTTTCTGCTGTATTTAAATTTATTAAAAACGTTATTATCAATTTTAACAATCTATTTTCTTATATTACGTATAATTATTTTAACAATGATTCAATAGTAAATTTCAAGTATACTTTCAAATTATTTTAACGAATTTTTATTTTATTAACATAACAAGATCAAAGAACAATGAAATTTCAGTATTTTTTTAAAGAAAGTTTAGATCGAATCTTCACCGTGAATTCATTTTAACATATTGATGTTTCAAATAAATAATAAAAATAATAAATCGAATCGAAACATCTGAATTTTAATAATCTTAAGTTTTGAAAAGAAAAAAAAATCATAAATAGGAAGTGTACATTAAACCAATAAGACAAGAAAAGGAAGATACTTTTCATCGAATCATTGATAATAATTATAAAAATGACAATAATAATAGTATTAAAAATAGAAAGAGCGACAACATTTTAGATCGAATATTAATAATATTTGCATCGTAAAAATTTCAATTATAAAAACATAATACAACTATGATGTCGATGAGAATAAAATTTACAAAAAAAAAAAAAAAAAAAAAAAAAAAATAATAAAAAAAAAAATAAAAACACACACTAACGTAAACATTCAGACGCATTCTATTAACAACATTTTGTCTCCGTTCTAAACACGCATCCCCCGAAGTTCTCATTGTATAGTGCAATAGACAACTGTCCCACATCAAAAGAAGGAACTATATTGCTTCGTTAAGCTGCATCAGCCACTTATGAATTTGTGATATGTAAGCGTGTATTGGGCAGTCAACAGAGACAAAAGTTTCATTACTCATACGATAAAGCTTTATTTTTTTTTTTTTTGTTGATGAATTTTTCCTCTCTATTTCAAAAATTGATTTCTTACATACTTAATCATTCAAAATATTGTTTTCCTAGATAATTTTTTTAATCACTACTAGTCGGAGGTTGATTTCAAATTTAAAATGTTGGGATCAAGGAAAGGAAGGTCTAATACATTATCCATTTATAAGATGAAGCATATATATATACACATATATAGAGATATGGGCACACAAGTATTATATGCAAATACACAAATATTAAAAGCTTTGTGATTTTGCTTTCTTTTTTCTTTTTTCTTTTATATATATAAAGGAAACGAGTGTATAATTTGCTGATTAATTTTTTTAATAACCTTTAGATTTGAAAGAAAAAGTATATTTTTATCGACCAAATATTCTTTTATAAAATTACAAAATCGATAGTAAAAAATGATCAACCGGTCTTTGTCTTTTTGCCCTTTTATTTGATTAGATTCTGCAATCGAGACGATTTTGGAACCTCGACGAATTGTACTGATATAGAGTAAAAATGACAACAATTTTAAAAAGGGCTTTCTTTTTATTATAATCAAATGATTTCAATTTAAAAAAAAAAAAAACAAAAAAAAAAAAAAAAAAAAAACAAAAAAAAAAAACAATAATCACATCAAGTATCAAAGAGCATGTGCTGTGCAGAAAAAAATCCATTTACAACTGGAACAAAAAAATATTAAGTATATACTCATACATTCGACTTCGCTTAGTTTCTTTACAGATTTTAATTGTTCAAACGACGAAAGAAGAAAAGAATTTAAAAAACATATTATAAGACCGACGGCAGATGAATGTCAACTCTGAGCGTACGTCTTAGATAAGTCAAGACATAAAAGATTAAAAACAATCACTCACGCGAGTTTCGTCCAATTAAAAAGCGTTTGTTAATCGCAAGTAAATTGTACCTGATTGAACAGTACTCTTGATTTTCGCAATTCTTACAAACTGTTAAATTTACTTTTAAATATCGAAAGAAAGAGAGAGAGAAAAAAAAAAAAAAAATCGGGTATTAAAAATCAAGAAAGAGAAAATTAGTTTCCTCATAAATAACAATTAATTTTTATATTATAATAAAACCTTTGCTTAGGAAGACGTAAATGGGATAGAAGTTTTTCATGTCGAATGTCTTTTAATTACATTGTTGGATGCTTCCGTTAGGATCTGTACATATACAAACAATAATTATTATTTAGGATAAAATCGTAATTTCAATTGTTTATTTCATACGGTTAAATAAAGTAAGTGACATTAGTAATGAGCAAATTTTTTCATTCAAATTATTATTGACTTTATGGACTGATTGAATTGCAGCATTGATTAGCATAAAATTTTTTAAAACTTATAGAGTGAAACGCGAAAACCAGAGTGAATGAGGAGCCATAGAAGATATACGAAAAGTTGGCTGTGTTTCTTGCATATACTTTAGTCGATATATGAAGGATTTCATTTCTCATTGAAGAAAGGAATAAGGCAAAATAGCTTTTAAAAAGCCTTTTATCCATTTTCTTTCTTAATTCAGAGATTCTTGAGTTATTGAGAAATTAGCTCGTGACTTTGAAAAAAGTGTCTTGAATAAAACAATAGCTAAGAAAACCAAGTGCACGCCTTCTTTTCTTCTTCTTTCCCTTATATGTTTTTATTGTTGTTGTTGTTCACGTCTCAACATAGCGAATCGTAAGTATATGCATGTGCGTCAAAGAAGGAAAGGTAGATAGAAAAGAAAAGTGTGTCCGGAGGGTTCTTGATAAATTCAAGATAAAACGCGAGTCTTTTCTTCTATTAAACGTTATTACACAACTTCTCTCACGTACACAAGCGCGCACACGCACACACGCACACAAAAGAGTATATTATGTCTTTAGTTCTGTTATATTATCATAACTATTAACGTCGCTTTCGTCCCTCGCGAGGTGGGCTATTTTCCTCGTTCTCTCTTTTATCGTTTATTTCTTTTTATTATATATAATATATATACCGATGTAAGATCTTTGTAGAATTCATTCTATTTTTTCATTTACTTAACTACTTCTTTTCACAAATCATTATTAGAGCGCTTTCTATATGTACAATACAAAAGATTCGACCACACGCTAGTCGACAACCAGCTTCGTTCAGTTATTAGCTAATCTGATACAAGATTTTATGTTTTCATTTTATTGGAAAGGATTTCGAAGATGTCATTGTCGTATCTAATATTTTTTTAATTGCAGACGTCCTCGTCTCGAAAAATTTTTTTTGCGTATTCTCTCTCTCTCTCTCTCTCTCTCTCTCTCTCTCTCTCTCTCTCTGTGTGTCTCTCGTTCATTCAATCACTTCCTCCCTTCTATCACTGAACGTCCCTCCGAGCATTCATTCATAAATTTTGTTGTTATTTTCTTGATTTATTGATCAATGATCGCGGTTAGTTGTATTTCATTACTATTTTATACTTTACGTCCGCTTACAATGTTATTCTGCTTATATTTCAAAGCCTTTAAAACAACCCTCTCACTTTCACACACTTACAATCGCGCGCGCGCACGCACAGGCACGCGCCCGCTCGCACTCGCACGCACTCTCTCTCTCTCTCTCTCTCTCACGCACAAATGCACGCGCACTCTCTCTCTCTCTCTCTCTCTCTCTCTCTCTCTCTATCAATCTATCTATCTATCTATCTATCTATCAATCTATCTCTCGCTCCCTCTCCATCATTTTTCGCTATATGATCTTTCGAGTGAAAATCTTGTTAGTGACGATGCATGTGACGTTGTCAAACCTTCGGCAATGGGAAGGAAATTGTTGTCGTAGACGAATAATGCTAGTCCGTCGAAAAGTTTATAACGACTTCAGAAATGTGCAGACTGGTACACAAGACGTGTTTCCTCTTTCTCTCTTTCTTTTATAACGATCTTTATCGTTTGTTCTTTTTATATATATATATAAACTGCTTTTCTTTGCTTATTCGTTTGTTTTAAAAATAAAATGAATTAAGAATCAAATAGAAAGAAAGACGAGAAAAAGAAGCCGATTCTCCATAAAGCACAAACCTGAAAACAATGGAAAACAATATTTAAAACATTTTCGACAATTTTATTAAAATAATGTTTTTCTTATAATTGCTTAATCCAATAATTAAATACTTATTGTCGCAATATTAATTTTAGCTAAATCATTGTCCACTATAAGTATATAAATTGTAATTATAGACACCATGGAATAATGTATACCGAATCACAATTTGTCAATTAAAGTTTGACACTAACGATCGTTATGGAATTTACATAATCATAAGACATTCGTGCGGATTGATTGGAAAAGTAATATTATAATTAGTGCCTTTGGTATTATAACCATAAGTATTTAAAATAGATAGACACGATGTTACTACGAGGATAAGATATTGTTGTTTAAAATTTCTCATCTAAATTAAAAATTGACAGTCAAGAATGAGAGACAAAACTTTAAGTGCTTGGGCATTTTTATACATAATCAACATCATGAGTATATTTATAATTTTTTGATGTCATGAAAAAGCAAAATCTGTTCCTTTTCGTTCATTTCTTTCCTTCTTTCTTTCCTTATATTTGCATAGTATCGAGCCTGTGATAAGTGATGAGTAGTTAAGTGGGCACCGATCGAACTTAAAAGCTTCTACTTAAGTCTTAAATCGCTCGACGATCAATTTCGCCGTTCAATTAGGCTGAACTATCGTTAATCCCAATAACTCTCGTCTACATCGCGTTCAGCACAATAAGTCCTTGAATTATTGGATTGAATGTGGGAGGACCGAGGGGCGAAGGAAGCCAATGGTGGTAATGTATGAATGTAGAGGTGGTGGAGGGTTGAAAGACACACCCGTTCTAAGCCATGTTCGATTGGCTGGAGTCGGCGCTCTGCTGGGCGTCGGGTAGTTGGGCAGCGCTGACCTGCGCCTCGGCCTCCTCACCGACGCTACTGCCCGTGGCCTGCTGGGTCCCGGGGACCGCGAGTCCGCTCGCGGGGTTAACGTCGGTCCCGGTGGCGCTCGTCGCCGAAGTTGATTGGGCGCCTTTACCCGACTGCTGGCTGTACTTGGGCCGAAGCATGTTATTGAAGATCGGTTGGATCCTCAGCTCGTGCTCGGTGAAATTGAAAAGGGGCGGCAGCTCCCGTCCGTTGGGCAGCCTCATGCCGGGTTCGCGCAGCTCGTCGAAGAAATTGTGGACGCAGGCACCGAGGGGCGTCGCGCGCTGCGACGGCGTGTACTCCAGGAGCTTCGCCACGAGGTCCATCGCTTCCGGGGGCGTGCGCGCCCTGAATACCTAAGCGCCGGAGGCGAGACAACAGATGCGATCGTCAGTCCAGTGGGCTTTGAGACGTACGAGGGAAGTATTTGTTTTTTCTAGTTGGCACTTCGTTGTGTTGTATTAGATTAAGATTATTTTATGAAACGATTGGCAATTATACCGACTGTCCGAGTGTCAAGTCAACACGGGCTTTCATGACTTTCGAACGCATTCACTTTTAAATACAATTGGACCTCACCTGCTTTCTCTTTTTTGCCTTTTATACGTATGTTTTGTTTACCGCATCGAGTGTACATTACCGTTTACCATTTAATCATTTCAAAACTCGAGATACTTTACTGTCACTTTCTTACAAAACCACCATTAAGAGAATGTACAAAATAATACAATATGATTGTTAAAATAATGTTAATTTTCAAACTAGATAATGCAAGTTACAAGTTTCAGATTGTTTATCTCAACGTATCGACATTCTCCTGCTCATAATAACACTATAATTATCCATAAATTTCACCTTACAACTTTAAAATTATATGGCTAATTAATTTTTTTGCTACTTTTACACATTTCATGACAATAATGATTTTTCACAATGGCTGCAATGATAGATCATCGGCATATTAGAATCATCAAATGAATATATCATTTCGTAATAATTTTTATCAATGTAAGTATATATTTTAAATGAAATATGGCTACATATTTTTCTTATTTGAAATTCAAATTAGTTATATTAATATTGTAAAATTAACTTGACAATTTATACTTTTTGCTTTGTATTTAATTGAAAAAAAAAAAAAAAAAAATAAAAAAATAAAAAAAAAATAAAAAAAAAAAAATTTGAAATTTTTTTTTCATTGCAATAAATGTTAAAAAAAAGTGACTCATTAAATAAATATATTAAATGCATTCAATTGAACAAATTTCAAATAACAAACGATTGATTTATAATAGTGTCGATTTATGAATTATCTTATTAATATTTTTATTTTATCACTTCGTTTTAATACTACATAATATATAGAATAAAATACAAATAAATGTATATTTTCACCATGACTTTTTATTTTGAAGTTTTATTTGTAAGCTTAGCATACGTAAGCACAATGGAACTATTAAGTTTAAATTTCAACTTGACAAGTTTTCAATTAACAACAGGAATTTTTACCAATGAATATATACCAATAACGTACAATTTATTATAATCGATGATTGAGAAATAAATTTTATGGCCAATACTCATTTCATAATTAATTATTAATGAATTTTGGTTATTTTATTGGACTAAATTTGAACGATTTTTATATATTTATATATATAAACATTTTTGGTTTTCGTAGGTAAACAAACGTTGAATTTAAATATTTATTCAGTATATTTATAAATATGACGATAATTTGCTTAAAAAACAATGCATCATATATAAACGTAATAATAATAATAATAATAATAATAATAATAATAATAATAATAATAATAATAATAATAATAATAGAAATATAAGGTGAAACGAAATCTTTAACTAATTTTGTGTAAATATATAAATGTCATATAATATTTAATTAACTTGTAATTTATTTGCAATGAATAATCTTTGGAATTGATATTATTTTTGTGCATTAAAGAATGACCAATTGTGTGTATGTAAATGAGAAAGTCAATAATTATAAACATTTTATTATAATTATTTCATTATTAAATGAAGGACAGAAAATATTTCCAACATTATCGATGCATTTATTAAAAGAACAATCATAGTGAAATTAACTTATTCATATTATTTATACAATATTATATGTATTTATTATTGTTATGAATTATTCCAGTTAGACCCTAATATATGCACACCAAAGTTGTTGAGAAAAAAATGTTTAGTATAAATACGCCTGAATTTTGTATAAGTTATGTTATTTATGAAAAATATATATAAAAAAAAAAAAAAAAAAAAAAAAATGAAAAAACAATGGCATTTATCACAGACAACATTAACAGTTAAGCATAGTCTTATAAAAATTACAAGTTTTTGAATCATGAGAAATCGTTATGAATGATGTTTTTAGCTTTGTGTCTGATGAGATATTGTTATATGATAACATTTAAAAAGTCGAAAAATGATGCTTGGTAAGTTGATACAATGTTTATATAAAATTTGAACAATAATTTCATTAGAATCCTTATTCGAATCGCGTGTCTTCGAAACAAGGAGCACCGCAAGATTAAAGTAAGTGATGTATTTATTTATTCAAGACATTTGCAATGTTGGATTAACTATGTTAGTAATGTTAGATCTGCCGCAAATGATCATGGAAGAAAATATTGGTTTTAGCAGTAATTTGTAATGTGTTAAAAGTTTGAAATATTCTCGAATATTCTCATTTGAATATACTATTAATAATCGTATAAGTATTCCGAACTTCAACTTTCATGAACAATGTTTGTAGTTTAGCAATAAATTTGAGAAAAAATTATATTACGAAAATGTCCCACACTTGTATATAATTTGAATAAAACGAAGGATCATAAAGTCATTTGAATTTTCTAAGATTTAAATTCTTTCCTCGAATATTTGAAAAACTAATTTTGTCTTTATAAGTAACATTGAAACATTTTATATCATTAAATGACATATAATGTTTATATGCATGATTTTTAATATATTTAATTTTTAAAAATCTTTACGAATCGATGCATTAATACCCGCACCCTAGTAAAGTATTTTACTTTTCATTGGCTATATCAAACTGTGAAATCACTGTAAAAATATAAAAGGATATCATTAATTTTATTACAAGTTTAATTGATTAATTTACTAAATTGAACGTAGATTTACGATGAAGTTGTTTTACCTGAATTTCTTTAGCTTTGCTGGTTTTGTGCAATAACGTTATGTCTTTGAGAATGAGAAATAACTGTATTTTCAATATTATAATGAAATATTTTACAAGCGGGGATAAAAATGTAAAGAGACAATTTAATACTGAAGTCGTATGTAAATTTATAAGAAATATAAATTTTCTACGCCGTAATAGCATTCAAAATACATTTCAAATAGCTGAATTATACGATTGAATATAATTGTGAAGTGACATTTACAACGGGGCCCATCATCGTCATCTGTTATTTGAATTTTTCATTAAATCACCGATATTACACAATAACGTAACGCGATATAATTAAACGGTCATTTAAATTCATATTTAAATAATGAATATCCGATAATTTGTCTATTATCAAATTTGTATATATAATTATAATAGTTAAACAATCACGCTTATTATATCTCATTTTCAAGATTGAAGGAAACGTAAGGCAGATTGTTTTACAGTGATATTCACAAATTTGTGACTCATTTGGCTTTGTTAGTGTGTATCCGAGCTGGCAGATAGATAGATAGATAGATAGAGAGAGAGAGAGAGAGAGAGAGAGAGAGAGAGAGAGAGAGAGAGAAAAAACAACAAATAGAAAAACGTATAGTGTGGCAGCCACATAAACACGTTCCAAAATTTTTGTCACCACTTACTCTAATCTTTTGGTGCTCGGTGGAACATTTTGGCAAGCTCATTCGTTGAAGCATAAACTGCAAACCATGAGTAATACGTGACGTTGATACATATAAATAACGGGGATGGCTTGATTGTTAGTCTTTACTTATTTATCTAACTTTAAGGATAATAAATTTGCCTATTAGTAACGTCTCTTGCATGTCTATTCTAATTTTTCTGCTATTAATACGAGCTTATTTATATAAAGTATTTTTTGTACAATTTGGATTTACATTGTCGTTGTTGTGTTAAAGGTTTTACTTTACCGTTGAAAGTGAAAAATTAGACGTAAACGTAATACCATTGTAATGGTATTATTTTAAGTGCCTCGACTCACTCGGATATATTATAATGTGATGATAAAACGCGACTTAATGTATTTGAATAATTTTATAAAACATTTAATATAAACAGGATTTAGTCACATTAAAAGTTATATAAAATATAAATAGCGTTTGAACTATGATTAAAATAAATAACGAAGGGGAGATTAACGAGCCAAAAATAAATAAATGGTAATGACAAATGACCTCGGACAATTGAACGTCGGCCTGTCTGTAGTTGAGAAAAATTCATTCTTAATTTCATAATTTTTATGAAATCTCTTTACCTTTTGCCAAGGATGAGACCTAATTTGTGGGAATTTGAATTCGGTGTAGTTAGGATTCATTTCGCGAATCTGTTCACGTGTCGGTGTACCGAGAACCTTGATTATCTCGACTAATTGATCCACACCACTATCCCCAGGAAAAATAGGCTGTCCTAGGAGAAGTTCTGCCAGAACGCAGCCGGCGCTCCATACATCTGCAAAGAACAAGGATTTGTAAAACATTGTCATGCTAGGATTTTTTAATTTTTTATTTTTATTTTTTTTATTTTTTATTTTTTATTTATTTTTTTTTTATTTTATTTATTTTAACTCTCTTTCATATCATTCAAATAAACGTTTAAAATTTTATTTACATAAATTGAAATTTCAGCATAAAATTACGCCTTTTTACTACGAGCAGAGCGAAAGAAGTGTAAATGGATAGTAAATAAAAATATTTACCCCACTCTTACGATTCCTATTTATATTATAATGTGCAAATCACGTTAAATCGATGCAATAAATGTCAATATAGTTTTGTAAAGCTACGTAAAACAAGTGGCTTTACGAATTCAGATGATTTTATTTACTTTCTGATGAAAATTGCAGTTCTAATATTCACAGGAGGCACTTGACGGAACAAAACATACTAATGCCATTATACATTTTGATCCCGTTTGCTCGATTATAAAATACCCAATATAAGAGATGCTTAACCGTCGACTAACCAATTTTCGTGGTGTAATCAATAGCGCCAAAGATGAGTTCGGGGGCACGATAATAGCGGCTGCATATATAAGCGACATTTGGCTCGCCTTTGACGAGGTGTTTAGCCGAGCCGAAATCGCACAGCTTCAGTATCCCAGTCTCCGGGTCGAGAAGTAGATTTTGCGGCTTTATGTCTCTGTGACAAATCCCTAACGAGTGGATATATGCCAGTGATCGGAAAAGCTGGTACATGTATAGCTGTAAGAAATGTGAAAGTGCATTGTCAATCGTTACGATCACGTCAATTGTTTTTCTTCTCTCTAATAGCCCCATCCGAAGCGATGTGACGACGTAACGACCGTCGACACGGTATATGAATAAATCAATTGTCTTAAATATGAAAAGATACGATTTGCAATTATAATATTGTAAGTTGCTCTTGGGCGGTTATCAAATGTGCTTCCTTATTAAGTAAATTCAAATTAACAAATTGGCACTTTGTGTTAACTTACCGTTTACAATGGTATTCACAACAATTATCATTATTTATTGTCATCGGTGAGATACGCCGTCGTCGTACATTCTATTACGATTCAAAAACGATGACAAAGGAAGAAAAAAAAACTCTATTCTTTATCGATAGATACTTAAGTGAAAAATACTGCTTTCTTTAACGAGAGACTTTGTTTTTACCTTAATGAAGCTGATTGGTATCGTTTGCTTGCTCTTGCTGTAGTGTCGAGCAACTTTATACACGGTTTCGGGGACGTATTCCAGAACTAGATTGAGATAAACTTCATCCTTCTGTAAACATTCGATAAAGGCATCATTGAAGAAATTCTGAGAATAATTAATTAGAGCATGAATGTATATCGCAGATATTATATAGAGAATTTTTTTTTCTTTTTTCTTTTTCTTTTTTTTTAACTTTTTGTGTTTTTGTCTATTTCTTTTTTTTCTTCTTTTTTTCTTTTTTATGCATAAAAAAGTTGTTAATATCGATCACAGAGAAATTCATACATTTACATGATAACAATTTTGCATAAAGGATCTATGAATACACTGCGTTATACGATCGGATGAGTAAACAGTCGAATTTTGTACACAATTCTAGCAAATTCTACAAGTTTATTATATAATTTTACATTACAACAATTATTTATCGTTCATTTGCTACATCTATAATTTATTTACTTTATTTGTTACTTTATTGATATTTATATCGATTTAATTATGTATTTATAACATTAAAATTTTTTAAGCCTAATTTTAATCTAAGAATTAAAAGACATAAATAACGTATTGTTTAAAACATTGTTTTACTTGAATTTAATAAAAGTAACTATATATATACATAAATACATTTGTGTATAATCGATATATTTACTAACAATACAGAAACGAATCGTCTCTGATATTAATCTGGACAGTATCAATTTTTATGTTATAAATTTTTAGAAAATACACTAAGAATTAAGTAAGTCGATAAGTAAATATTATAAAATAACTATTTAATAATAATACACGAGGGCAAATTGAAATGAAAATTTTAGTTTAATAAATCTTAGGATTGCAAAAGTTTAGCGTACTAAAGAAGAACAATTTTTATAACTAGCCAAGCAGCTTTAGTCACTAAATGCATAATTTAATAGCTTATTGTTTATTTATTTATTTATTTATTTCTTTTTTCTTTGAAAAACTTCTTTCTATTTAATATGTCATTTTTATAACTCATTTATTTTTTCGTCATTTATATAGTTATATTGCACTTTTTCTACCGCGGAAGCGTGACTGCCTAAAAACTCCGTCAAAGGATTATTTTACAACTACTGTACGTACGCTTCAACTTACGTCCACATGAAAAACTGGATTAGTCGCATTTAAGAAGTTCTACAAAATAACACAATAATGACGCATCCATTAAATTTCAAAAGTTATAAACACTTATTATTGAATGAAGAGATAAATCTCAATCTTATTCTTATGTTCATATTTATATTCGTGCATTTATGCTGACTGGCTATTTATTATTGCTATACGGTCGAATAAAAATTAATTGTCTCCTCATGGTGAGGATAAAATTTATATTATTTTCTTGAAATTCAAACATCATTATCAATTATATGCATACTCCATAATGAAAATTGTTTAATATTTCTTCCAAAAATAAACTTAAAACAAGTCATTATAAAGCTTTCTAATAGTAAAATTAATTCTTGTTACACTTAATTATAACATTGTATTATATGTGTGTGTATAGTAATATTTTTCATTTTTATACTAATTCAATATCTATTAATCAAGCGATATACATAATATATAATAAAGCAATGTATTTTTAGTTAATCAAAAATGTTTAAATTTATCATTTCTGTCTCTATGGGTAGTTTAGTGTTTCATTATAGAGAAATTTTTTTAACATTATTTATACATATATTTTTATTATAATCGCTATTTAGTGATCGTAAAAAAAAAAAAAAAAAAAAAAAAAAAAAAAAAAAAAAAAAAAAATTACATTAATAATTATAAATAAGTAAATTATATATCTACTTATTATGATATGATAATAAATATAATAAATATAAGTATAATAAAATAAGTAACGAAAATGTTAAGTAAATAAAAGTTACCTTATCACCACTAGAGTAAAAGAAATACTTTAGTTTGACGATGTTGCAATGTTCGAGGCGTCGCATTATTTGCAATTCTCTGTTCTGAAATAAAAGTTAACGAATTAATTGTAAATTTCTAATACAATTGTCTTTTGGATTTTAATTCAATACGCTACGGCAATTAATGTCTCACAATAACCACTTTCTTTTTCTTACAAGTCATTGAATACGTAAAAGAAAAATCTTTGGTTCTTCAGAACGGTGTACATTAATATTATAATACAATTTGTTTATAATAAGTACATAAATATATGTGCAATGAAAGTGAGCAGGAATTTAGGTATTTCACGTACAATTGTTTTATCGGTATTTAGCTAATGATTACTGACGCGAAATTTCTTATTTGATTTAGTAAGAATATATTGCAATAGGAAAGATTGAACGAAGATGAAACGAATATAAATAAACTATATATTTATAAATATAAAAGAAAGACGTTATTACATGATTCCTAATGATTCCTAATTAATTGACACATTTTTTTTTGTTTTTTTTTGTTTTTTTTTGTTTTTTTTTTGTTTTTTTTTATATGTGACTAATCTCTATTGTACGAAATTAAAAATAATATATTTTTTATAATTTGTAGAAAATGAGTGAAGAAAATTACAAGTACTGGGATAACTAGGCAGGCACTTTGTTGATAAAAATTGCAGTTACAATTAAATTGTGAAGAGCCAAAAGTACAATTATAAGCCGAATATTGATATACAAATAAATAATGAAGCTTTTCACTTGACATTTATTTAATTTAATTAAATATCGCTTAATTATTTACCGATAAAGTTATAATATAAATTTATACTTTATAAATAAAAGTATCATATTTTCATTCATATTTTATTACAATAATTTCGATAATATTATGTCCCTTTTAAATATGATATTAATAGCCGTCAATTTCAAAGATCGTTTTAATAATTAATTTAAAAAAAAAAAAAAAAAAAAAAAAAAAAAAAATAAATTTGGTAATTTTTTTTATACTTTATCGGAGCTTAAATTTTTTATACGAATCATTGGAATATTTTTTCCTTTTTTTTTGTAAGCCAATGGTATTGGAATTAAAGCTTGTAATTATAAAGGGGAAAAAAAGTACACTAGTTAGTTAAATTGTCGCCTATCATATTGTTGGTTTATCAATTAAATTAAACGACGTTAGATTTGAAAAGATCAAGATGAATTGGCGGCATGAAATTATAATAAATTCATAATTCTTCATAAGATTTATTATAAAGAACTTTCTATAAGTATAATCGTAAGAGAAGAAATATGACCTCATTGATGATATTTTAATAAATAATTCTTTATACTAGAAAAATGTATTGCATTGCGAATATTTAATATCCTACGGTAATAATGTATAAGGTCCACAGAAAGTAAAAGGTGTGCATTCATTTACTGTATACGGAATTGAGTTTGAAGCTCCTTGGCGCTCAATGATTATAGTAATTAAAAATTCTCTCTCTCTCTCTCTCTCTCTCTCTCTCTCTCTCTCTCTCTTCAAATACATATGTATAATTCTTTCTCGATTGCAATGGTCTTATTAGCTTTACAAAGCTTGGCTTAGTAAACAACACCGAGTTGCCGATAATCTTGATACGGGTGTAGGAAATATCTTGAGGACGATATGCATCATAAAGCCAATTACATTAGTAATATATATTGTTTACTAGAGAAATTGGTTTTTAAAAAGTTGCTTCAACTTATTTAATATATGATTATGGTGAAATTGTATCGAATCAGAAATGAATAAACAAACCTAGTAAATATAGTAAATTATTTTAAGTTTATTATTACTATGTGTAAATGGGGAAACATTATTATATTTCTTAATACGTGGATCGATCGATAAATAAATAAGTACACGTATGCTTGTAACCGTGCATTAACTAGATTTCCCTTAAAAATGTAAGATAATAAAACTACAGAAAATCATCTTAAAGTTTCGCGCATTCGTAATAGCCAATAAAAGGCGAAGGCTTCGTGTGGCTAATGTGGCAAAATAATTTACCTTCCGCTTTCACTTTAGGCCGCATATAAAAATAGACTGACTACTAACCTTAAACCGCTTGTCCTGCAAGACTTTCTTGATCGCGATGGTCTCATTGGTTTCACAAAGCTTGGCTTGGTAGACAACACCGAAGCTGCCATTGCCGATAATCTTGGTGTCGGTGTAGGAAATTTCTTGAGGACGATCCGGGCCAGCGCCAGGTGTCGCTACCACTGTCGTTGCCTTGTTGCCATCCTTGCCTGCTTCGAACATCGCACCATCCATAGAAAAAACGGAATAAGAGAGCGGAAACGCTATAGTGCAGTGACGATATGGTTATTAAGATTTTACAATAAAGCTATTAGTGCAAGTTGGTAATTATTTCGTTTCTGCACTCGGGTAATTCGGGTGCAAGTCATTGAAGGACAAGTGTCGCCATTGAATTACCGATTGGTAATCAATTGTATAATGTGCGGGGAGCATCATTTTGCCGCGACCATAGGATTAGATCTTAAAGATATCCTTTTGGATCTGAGAGGCTCGGTTTCGCGTACTACTTTTAAACGTCTTTCTTTTATTCGACAAAGTGCTATCTCACACTCTACTCGTAACTAGGTCAAAAATATATAAACTTTTGTAAACAATCAAACGTTATCTTTTTTCAAATTTTATTATCTCCATTCACTAATATTATTCACAATTTCACATTATGGGGACACGCACACACAAAAGCACACAAAAACACGCACGCACGCACGCACGCACGCACGCACACACACACACAAAAAGGAACAACATTAAATTTCAAATTTTTACATGTAAAACAAAGACAAACCAAAGGGAAAAAAGAAATAAGAATTCAGCTCAAATATTTGAGAAATTTATCAAGATTCATTGTCGGATAAATAATTGTATAGAGGACACGATTATGCTTAATCTTTTATCAACACCCAATATTATTTTGTTTGCATAAATAGCTACGTAATGCTCGTAATTATGATCGTTAATTAATTACCCCTGATTTATGAAAAACTATGCTTTAAGAATTTTAATTTTCTATTGGCAAGCAGAGAGCGCCAACTACCTACATAAAGGTATAAAGAACAAGAAGAGGAAGAAGATGAAGAAGAAGAAAAAGAGGAAGAGTGAGAAAAAGTATGTCGATGATACATTGATGCACATCTCAAGATATTTTGACGTCAATTTTAAATAAAGGTCCCTCCGTCCGTCCCCCCCTCCACCCCACCAAGCAACATACACTTCCGTCACGGCAAAGCGATATTTCTTTTCATCGGTTCACAACTGACCTAAATTATATGCGAGCTCGGTCGACTCGGAGAGACGAGGACTCTACACTTGCTTCGACCAGCGAATTATCGAGGTCTGGGAAGTAGCAGCTATCTAGGCTCTATTTTTGGTTGACTGCCGGTGTAGAAAATAGTGTCGCCAAGTGCTTGGGAGAGCGGCGAAGTGTACCGCTCTCCTTAAGGAGTGAGCGAGAGAGTGTGTGCGCGAGCGGGCGCGCGCGCGTGTCCCTTTTAAGCACGAGACGAAATATAAAATGAAAGCATTTTTAATGTAATATGTCATCGGGGTGATGAATGCGCGTTGGGAATGGGCTGTTTGAACCGCGGACAATGTAACCAATGCGCGATCAACCGTCTTTTTCACGCTAATCTAACTAAAGCGTGACTTTTCTATTCTTTTTTTATAAAAAAAGGTTTCGAAAAAAAAAAAAAAAAAAAAAAAAAAAAAACACAAAAAAAAAAACACAAAAAAAAAAACACAAAAAAACTTTTATAATGACAATAATAACAATAGCGGTAAATAAAATAATCATAATTTCGTATTGATAACAATAACGACAACAGTACAAAAAATAACGATGTTCGTTTTTCTTTTCTTTCTTTTTTTTTTTTTTTTTTTTTTTTTTTTTTTTCATACACGAGGCGAATGTTGCTCGATGCAAATCGCCGATTCCAATTATATAATACAGTTATGCTTAGAAATGTCATAAAGGCTCATTGTTAAATGAAAACGAATAACAACGCTTTTACACAAAGTTGAAATATCGAATAATTTTAAGTGTTAATTTTATAATACTACCCAGTCCAAATTAAAGAAGCAACATCCCATTGGTTTATAAATAAATTTTTATAAAAATAATAATCTCCATAAGTAAACAGATTATTTTAAGATATTTGGTTTCGTTAAATCGAAGTAGGGATAGTTTATTTCAATTTCAATTTTGTTTTCTTTCACAATTCTTTATCACATATAATCGTCTAATTCTAAATTTAAATGTATACTAAAATCTAATATAATTAGCATACCAATTATAATGATTATTACAATATATTATTCGGTAAAGTTAAGTGATTTTAACGTTTACACGAGACGGAGCATAATCGTCGAACTCATGAGGTGGGAAAGAAATCTAAAGGCTTAATTTTTATTTTCATTAGCTACATAAATGCTTTATTGTATCGTAGAAACATTATTATCCACATAGAAGTTAATATACTTAAATCAGATAAAGAATCACAAGTTTAAATTCTGTAATTATTTTTTATAAAATTACAATCCCAATATGAATTTAAAATTGAATCTAAAACTTTGCTGTTTCATGGATTAAATGGATGGCAATTTTAATCGCATTATTGGAGAATAATAAAAGTTAAGCCTATATAATATAGAAGTTTGGATAAAAAATCTTTAACATTTTGCAATAGTGAAAGATTTTTAACTTTCTTAGTTCATTGTAAATTGCTACAAAAAATTGATAATAATTTTCATTTGGACCGAATGAAGTATCCTTCATTCAAAAGCTTACTTCCCAATATATTATTAGTTATGACTAAGAAATAACAAAGAGACAATAAATTTTTTATTCCGATTGATAATAAGTTAATGGCTTAGAGTTGAATTCATAATAAAAACAAAATTAGGAAAGAAAGTGAAGAAGACCTTCCCTTTTTCAGCTTCACAATACCCATCGTCAATTCATAAAAGTAATAAAATAATGTTTTATTATGCACCCATATCTGTGATATTTTAGCTTTACACCCCGAATAAAAATATATTTCTCATCGTACGCTAATATATCACCTTCACCCTTACCTGTAATCATTTAGATTTACCGAACACGCATACAAATATATCATTTTACGAGAGTTTTTTACTTGCCTCTCATCTTGGACTAATTCACTATTTGTATTTAATAATTTAAAATTAATTGAAGTTATTTAACAATAATAATTATTTAACAATAATTTGTTAAGACGAACAGATTTTTAAGTGATTGTTGTTGTTTTTTTTTTTTTTTTTATAAATATTTAATTATTTTTACATAAGGACACAGGTACCGAGATAAGAAAATATCAAAATAACAACAAAGTAATTAGCTTATTTTTAAACTTAAAATAATATGTAGTACATTTGCTTAGAATTAAAAAATAAATTAAATTCAAATAATATATGTAATAAATCTACTAACAATTGTCATCATAAATTTGTCTTCTTAAATTTCAATTTTCGTTATATAAGGAAGTAAGGTGAAGCCAATATAGCTAGACATTTAATATTTCGTATGCACTTCTTTTCAAATGTTATATATTAATATAAATAATTAATAAATAGACAGACAACTTATCGATGATTTTTAGAGAAATCATACATTAATAAATATCTCAATTATATTATTATTTAGGATACTAAACTAAACGTAAATATAAATTCACTAAATTCCCGCTAATGTCGATTTAACCTTTTCGAATTATATGCAAATTAGATATCTTTTAAATAATCAAAACTGCATTTGTTTATGAAATTGATTAATTTAGCGCTATAATTATAATTTAATTATAGGCGAAAATTGGACTTAATATGGTATAATTTACGAACCAAAATTCAAATTGAAAGCAATAGATAATAAATAAAACTGTAATTATGAATAACAAATTTATAACTATCAAATCTAATTTTATGGTTGAAATTAAAATGGAATTACGATGGAATGCCGCAATAGCTACTGATGCGGTTTAAAACATTTTTTTAATCGTATAGATAATTTATTTTAGAAAATTAGTTTTCATTTTTTTAGGAAATTGGAGTTACAAAAAAGAGGGAAGCAAAAATTATAATATATGATTGCAAACGTTTGATTGTGTGTATAAGGATAAAAAAAGCGAATTATTAAACTTTAATAGAGAACATTGACGATGATCAAATTCTCGTAATAATTTAAGATTTCCATTGTATATAATAATTGTAAATATAAAATTTAGAAATTAAAGATTAACGTCATATTTAAATTTCATTTGAATATGTTAATTTGATATTTACGCGTTGCGTGCCAATGTATTAGTTTATACATAGTCAGAAAATTTGGTGAAATTATTCAAATGTCCTACCTCTATCAGCTCCTAATAGCGCAAAAGTGTTAATGTTAACATTTCAATTATTAACGATAAATGTAACGGTTGTTTTTTTTTATTGTTGTTGCTTTCTTTCATTTTCAGACTAAAAGTGTGAATAGATTTTGTGAAAATAGCCTCACGTTCTTATTATCGATTTTGAAATAATGTAACATTTTCTTAAATATAATTTTCAGTGTTACTTTTCTGAATTTATCGTTATTATTTAAATTTCAGCTTTTTGTTTGTTTGTTTGTTTGTTTGTTTGTTTGTTTTTTTTTTTTTTGACAAATTTCTACCACTGTATAATTGCAAAATTTGTAAATCAACGCTCTTTGAAGAATACGACGAATGGAACGGCGTGATTCATAAATTGTCTTGAGAGCGTACGAGCTTTGTGCGCATAATGGTCGGACATATAAATAGATATTTATTTCTCAGAATAACATGCACTGCCGGGACTGGCGGCAAAATTTTACTTCGATACCGAATTGCAAATAAAAGAACAGCCTTTATCACAGAACCGCCAGGTTATGTAAAAGTGTATGCGAATTTAAATTGCAGCACAAAGGCAAAAGTACATTCCGTACAGTTTAAGACGATTGTAAAGAAATCGGGTATCGTCGAGCAGATATATTTCTTTCGTACAATGAGCTAATATTACCGCTGACTATTATTATTATTTTAATCTTGAATTGAAAATGTTGACGAAACTAAATACTGCATCTTGAAAAATTCATTATTTTTTAAAATTATCTTAAGGAGTAGTCTTGGGGGAGGGGGGAGGAGAGCGATATCGATTATTACGGTATTTAATAATTTATAAAAGTATTTATCAGACAGAG